TTCTGCTTACAAATAAGTTAAACAAAAACAGATTGAAATTTTTGGTACAAATGCATAGTAAAACATTTATTCAGGAATTAATATAAACAAACCCTTGCAGTTAAAAAAGATAAGCCCAATATATAATTTGAATGTTTTTTTTTTTTTTTAAATGACATTTCCAACCTGCCATACTGTGTTGTAGATAAATTGCTGAAAATGGTTTAGAAGCTTTTTTCTTTTTAAAGATATAAAACTGTATTTTTTTTCTTTGTAATATTATGATTAAGCTTTTCTGTTTTTTTTCTTGTGCTTATGATTGAAAAAACAAAACAAAAAACCAACAATCTCTGTGATTTTAAAGGGATGTGTAATATTCTGGTGGTAATGTTCTTCCAAGTGATTCTGGTTCATATCTTACCTGCAGCAGATAACTCTAGACATCATCAAAGAGGTAGTAAGGCTAAAGGTCCCCCATCATGAATGCACAATAAAATGTGAATCATTTGCATTCAGAGTAACTGCCTGATATAAAGGTAAAAAATTGTAGATAGCATGAACATTTTAGCATCTTGAGTAGATTACTTTATTGATTTTTACACAGCCTTACTTTTCTATTAGTCATTCACCTTCAGTTGAAATGCTGCAAATTGATAATGCACCTAAAGGATCATCTATGTCCTGTGTAAAGCATTATCTTTATACAATAATCACCTAATGTAAAAATTCAGTCTATTTAAAGATTTACAAAATAGGTTTGATGTGTTGTTTTTGATTTTCAGTGCTTTGGCCTTGTCTACTCTCTGACTTATTCTGCAGGAACAATAATCCGGATTAAATAGAGACATGAAAAGTCTAGATAAGATATTGAATTCTTATGATCTTTCCTTATCACTGTGTCGCTTTTAGTGCTGATGAGGGCGGCAAAGCAGGAGCCTCCTCAGGTTCTCAATATCATAAATATGGGAAATTAAACGGGTCTCTTATGTGATTTCTGTGAGCACACTTCAATGTACCTACTAAAAGGAGAAACAGAACTGTCAGCATTTTTTTGTCAGCTCTGGCAAAACTATAAATAATAATGAATAAATTATTCTTTTATTGCAGTATCAAACTCTCACTTGGAAAACAAATTTGGAAGAATCCAACCTTTAATCTTTTTTTTTGTGTTGAGAATTTCCCCTGCAAGAAACCATTGTCCTGTAACACAATCGACAGTGCCACAATTAATGACACCCCCCATTATATATTATTTTTTAAAAATGTGTCAGAACTATTAATTCTTTGCACTGCTAATCAACACCTTCTTCCTTGTTTTCTTGTAGCATTAACTAGCTACTTATTGACCTAGTATAATAAATTTGTTATTTGTATTGTTTTAATATGATAAAGTTATATAAAGAAAATAAGTTGCATAAGCCAGGAACAGTTTAGCTGTATTAAGGGAAAGATGTTTATTAGGTGCCTGGGCAGAAACCGTGCTATTCAGCAGTCTAATTCATGGACCTGCTCTTTAGTTTTCGCATGTATCATAAAGGGAAACAGTATGATATAAATGTCCAAATGTTTTGCACAGTTTCAGCCTTGGGTGCATGTAGAGACTGTGATTTGGCAACCCCAAGACAATGTCTGGAGTGACTGTCGCTCAGTTTAAGAGAAGCCATCTTGCAATCCAAAGGTGTAGAGTTGATTTCCTCTGTGTACAAATGTCTGCATGTTTGTGAGTGCAACTGGGTGAATGACTTAAGTGTTAACTGCTGCGATTATTCTATAAATTCAGTCCATTTACCATCTTTTATTAAAGAGCTTAAGGACTAAAGGAAAGCATATTCCACATGTTCATGCAGATGGTCAATACAAGTTTTTGAAAAAAGAAATGGTATAGCCCCTCCGGAAGAGCAAGTTCCAAACATTATTTTGTCTTTTCATGTATTTTAGTGTTGCAGTGCCTGAACCTACACAACATTGCTGAACACATTTACTCTGCCGTCGTACAGCTCCCACTTTTGTGACAACCTATTTCTAATCGGGGGTTTAGTATGATGTCAAAAGCTGTGACAGCTTAAGTTCCTACTGGAAACTTTTTAAAGGTTTGATTTGGATTTTTCTTATCGGAATTTTGACCAGTTTTTCAGGCTTGCTTTTTTGAGGTCAGACACTAAGGATGAACAAAAATGCCTGGCTCAAAGTATCTGCTCTACTTCTTCACAGAGTAGTTAGACGGGGTTGAGGTCAGGACTGCGCAGGCCAGACAGGTGCTTCCACATCAAACCATCCTAACAAGACTTTATGGGGTTTGCTTTGTGCATTAGAACAGGAAGAGACAATCTACAAACTTCCTGCTCCAACAAAGCTGGTTGCTGAAATTATGTAAAGATAAGAAACAGAGTACTGTTTGCTCCCTCACTGGGTGAGGAGGAGGTAGAGTGAATGGCCTGATCCAGACAGACATTTCTCTTTGGCTCTACCTTACTCATTCTTCATCTAAACAGGTTATCCTGAACAATTTTCTATATTTATGCTCTGTATATTTAGATTGCTGGAGGACACAGGGACTGCTTTTTGTCATTCTTCTTCATTCTATCTCTATTCTCCAATTCTGCAGTATTTGTTAGTTCCACGCATAACTTCATGTTATCTGCTTTTTCTCATCATAATAGCTTCATCTGATCTGCTCCTGTTTGACCCTTTAACTGAATGTGCTCTTTCTTCCTTTGATGTGAAAACTGGTTTAGAGCTCATCTGCTTAACTGTTTATTTCCTAGACACAGCCACCTGTGGAGCTGGTTGACAGTTACCTTTTGTATCTCTGCGTCTTTTTATATGTCTACTTCTGTCTCCTTGAACCCCAGTCGGCCTCAACAGATGGCTGATCACGCTGAGCCTGGTTCGGCTGGAGGTCTCTTCCTGTTAAAACTAAGTTTTTCCTCTCCACTGCTGCTTCATGCATGCTTGGTGTGAGGGTGGCTGTAGAGTTGACGACTAAATGTCAGGGGATATCATCGCCGCAACTGATCCAGGTGGAGTGCGTCCTCCAAGTCAATGACTTGATGCAATCAGCTGGTTTTCCTTGGCAGAAACTTTGAACCAATGTAACTGTGTGATCTGATTGAATTATCTCTGTCAAATGCTTTGAGATTACATTTGTTGGTAATTTGCAATATATAAATAACTGAATTGAACTGAATATAGGTGGCATCCTGTCTATGCATCAATGCACTGAATCCATCCTTTTAAACCTAAAATATCATATATCCAATGCCATGGAAGTAGTCGGAAGACCTCAAATTAATATTTTAGCCAGGACAGAAATATGATTTGCCTTAGGTAATTCTTAATATTTGTATAATATTTCTAGAAACGTCTATAAAAATGAGTTAGGTATAAGCCCCACAATAAAAAAAGAAACTTATTTGACTGCACTGTAGTACATATTATTTTAATGTGCTGAAAACCCTTTGCAACAAGGCAAGTCAAGCACAACAGGTGCACAGAAACACATGTTGAAAGTTCATGAGCTAAATCACGAGAACAGAGGACCCCATCGCACCACCCCACCCCCCCATCCCCAGCCAAAACAAAAGCAATAAGCATGCCAATAAAATCAAATACAAAAAGATAAATCACACAACATAAAAAAATAATTATAAACAAGGTTGGGCTGCTTAGAAAACACAACTATTTGACATATCATGTCCAATCTTGGATGTGCGATGAATAATATTTGTTTATAAGTGACAAAATGTTTTATTTTTTGTATGGCTAAAGTAGCCGCTGAATGATATAATTGAGAAGCTCTGGATTAGCTCCAGAGGATGAAGGGTAAGAAAATGAGGAATGTACTCTTCTTTAAATGTTCATAAAGCTGAGCCGCACTTCATACGTCTTTTGTTATGATAATCAGTTACTTCATGCTTGGAGCAGCTCTGAAGCTGTGGTTGAGAATCAGGAGCAAGGATCCACTGTGTGGAAAAAACATGCCCTGAAAACTCAGCTAACATTAAGATGTCTCTGTATCTCTTGATTCTGTCTATCATAAAATATTATATCTTAATTCTCCTAAAAGTACTGCTGCTTTTAAAGGAGTCATGTAAATGAGCTGCTAAAGAAAAATCATAGGATGCACTGCATGTCAGGTCTTGGATTTTGATTCGGTTATGTGAGCATTTTGGCAACATCAGACAAAGAAAAGACAGTATAATGTGATAAGAAAATGTTACAGGAGATTCCAAACAGCTTTACAGTACTGCAGACTTCACTTGCATCCTTCTTTGTACCTATGTGCTGCAGAAGATCTGTCAAAACTGCAATACGATTTTTATCCCTCGCATCATAATGAACGATGTCAAGCTTGTCTGATTTGACGAGAAGTATTTATTTCATTGTTTTACAGATAACATACTTCACAGGGTTACCTTAGAGGTAAAATCTCCTGACAGAACTCCGTTTTGACTTGTCAGGGACAGAGGGGGAGGATGAACATACTTTTATAGAGCACACATTGTAAACAACTGAGCAATATTTAAGTCTAAATGGCGTACCATAGAGTCGGTGAGAGACAACAAAATGTAAGAAGATGTGCCTCTTGTTTGCAAAGACAAAAATTTCATTTTTACAAAAAACAAATAATGGTCACTGACATTTTTTTTTTACTCTTCTTAGTGGCTGAGAGGTAGAATGAAGTATTTTTAGTTAAACCAATGATTTTATTTTGTAATCTACTTTTATTTAATCATCTCATCATACTGAGTGAAAACAATACAAGTGAATGAATAAGGAACCCCAGCCCTCGGATTATAATGTGAAAGCTGTACAAACCCTTTGCTGATTGCAATGTTATTGGATTTTTCTTGTGAAACTTCTCATTTGTATCCCAAAAGTCCGACGTCATAAGCTGAGAAACATTTTTGTTTCAGGGTAAGGATTTCACAGGGTCTCGTCGAAATGTGGGCGAGTGAATTCCTTGGTTTTAAACACTGTGAGGAGCGACATCAGAGTATGTTTTGTTTTCTTTTTTCGTGGATGAGATGCAGAGATGGAGATTTTCAGTTGGAAGTATCTGAATGGACGCTCCCGGGTCCTTCTGTTGGCGATGTCACTGATGAAGGAGTCGGAGCATCTTGCCAGCCGCCGTTTGTCTGTGAATACAACCAGAATAAGAAGTTAGAGAAAACACAAGGCCACGAAGAATATTTCCGAAAAACAACCAACAAAGGAAGGATTGTGGTTAGTAGAATGCAAAGACTGAAAAAGGATAGAAAAAATAATTAAACAAAAAAAAGGTAAATGATCGGTAGCTGATTTGCCAATCAAAATCCAAATGTTCATGTAGGAAAAGAGCTTTAAAATTAGTGTAAATGGACAGAGAGGAATAATAGAAGCAGATTTGAATATATTTGAAAGAATAAAAGAATCTCTACCAGAAATGTTTAAATCATATATAAAACTAATGAGGGATCTTTAAAAGATTTGCTCATGCTGTATTCCTCACAATTTTGCAAAAATATAAAAATTCACTTAGGGATAACAATGTCTAAAAGCTATTTTATATTAACTCTGCTGCATTACATCCCTCACTATTCTGTTTTCTCTTTGGATAATATCACTGTTTAATATACGGAACAATTTATTTATTTAAAATTTAGATATGCTTTAAACAAATGCCTTTAAAAGCAGTCAGTGAATATAACAATCGGTTTGTTTAAGAATTATCTACACTGGTGAAACTTTACCTTGTAACTTTAATATCAACCTCTAGGTTTTATTTTAATATGACATTAAATACATGAGATTTTCAGCCTTTCATATTCTTTTAAAAATAAATGATTAACATAGTGGGCAAATAGCAGATTAAATTCTGATGTCATACTGACCACTATCTTGATGGAACCAATAAAAATAAACAGACCTTAGTTTAATGCGTTGGGCCATCTGATACAAGCAAATATATGTACCTATTCATAATATTTATATTATTTTTTTCATTTATCAAGGCAATAATATAGTGCCAGGTATATCAGCATCTCTTCAGTTGTGGCTGTTCATGTTAGAAGCAAAGCTGAAAGGAAATAGTTAAAAATGGAAAATTCAGCAACACTTATTAAGAGCAGAATCTAAATAAATAAAGTAGATTGAAAAGACTTCCTCTAAAATGGAACACAGGAATAGCAATAAAATACTCCGGTCCTTGAGGGCCAGTATCCTCAACTGAATCAAATGGCTGAATTATGTCCTCGGTATAAAAGGCATCCTTCCAAATCGAGTAAATAGTAGCTTCTACCTCCTGCTCCTAGCTCACATCTCTTCTGATTTCACAGGAACAACAGTAAGAACACTATTCTGGGTAATAAAAGATAATCTTGACTCCTGCGGTTAAAGCTAATGGATTTCATTACACACACTAAATTATGTCAATTTCAAAATACAATCTTATAGAAAAATCTCCAAAAACACAAATGCAGATAACAGCTGGAAACATATGAGGGTGTTTACATTAGCATGTGTCACACATATAGATGTCTTAATAATATGTAGTGGTTTAGTAAAACTCCATAAGGTGGGCTATGTCTATAGATCCTGTCTGCAAAGCATCGTGGGTAACCGTATAGCTCCTATGTGGCGGATTGGAATGTTGCAAGGTCCTTATGTTGACTAAAGCATGCTGCTTCCTTTTCCTATCTCTTTCCTTACTACCAGCACTTTTTGGTCAGCTCTTATCATGATGGTTGCTGAAATACTTCCCCTTTGGCTTAACGTCCTTAGCTATTTGCCCGATTCAATTGGAGCCAGGTTCTCATGAGTACTGGTAATTATCTCATTATTTGACTCAGATGTGTTGGAGCAGGGACACATCTAAAAGTGTCAGGACACTGACCCTCAAGAACTGGAGTAGCCCTCTCCTGCTCTACAGGCTTCAAACCTAACAACAGCATAAGACAGTCCTTTGGGCTGACTGTACCATGAAGTACTTTGGAAATGCTAAAATTAGATAAAGCTTGCTTCTGATAGCCAACTCTGAAGGTTTCAACCTTGGCATTAAATGGGACTTCCTAATTAGTTCCCAAAACACTGATACATACTCAGCAGGACCAAGGCTGAAATGGTTAGGGAGGCCTGACAGATTCCTTACACCCTTCTCTCAGATGTCTTTTTACAATCGCAATAGCATATGTGAAATTTATGCACACAGGAGCACTACGTCGATTAGTTGAGAAGACTGCAGAAATATTCCTCTTCACAGCTAAATCCTTTAATTAAAAATAAATATTTGATTATTCAGTGATCAGGCTATAAAGGGGCAGGAAGGGGAATCAACACAACTGCAAACTCTCTAAAATATTTTATTAACACAAATCTAAAACAGGAAACACTATTCTTTATTAAGTAGCAGCTTTTTTTACTTACAAATACTTAAAGTTAAAACTATATAGCTGCATATACTGTATAAAAACAAAAGTTAGGATTAAAGAGTTGCGAAATCTTTTTTTTCATTATTTTAATCCTGAAGAGAAGCGATCCTTCAGAAATTAACAATACATCTGTTTACTTGATGTAAATGCTTATAAACTATTTCTTGTTTTGGATATTCCTCCAAAAGCTTCTCACCATAGTTTTTAGCATTTTGTCCAATTCCTTCTGATAGATCTGGTGTAACTGGGTCTAAGATTGTATGTCCTTGCTCACTCGCAGATTATAGGTTTTCACCACAAATGTTGTGTTTACCTTGGTATTAAAGAGTGTTTTAATGGAAATTCTGAAACACTAACTTTTTTTTTTCTTCTTTATAGAAACTTTATATCTAATTTGTTGGTATAACTAGGTAGGTCAGACCTTTGCATTAACTTTCTGGCTAATGTTATATAACTTTCTTTCTCTGTGGTGTCATTTATTTTGCAGACTGTCCATCCTGCAGTAAAATTATAATGCTCCCTCAAAATTTTGCAGTTTGGTTTGTGTTCTGAAGCGTCCAACTTTCCCCATTTTTCCTCCAAATCTAGGGATGACCATCATAAAAGAAACACTTAAGTCTTCAGAAATTAAGTTCTCTCATGCTAGTTGCATTAGAAATTAGTTAACTATGAATAACAACCCTTAATTTTCTTCTCTGTAAAATCCTCTCCAGAGGTTCCAGAGATGTTCCCAGAACAGAGATGGCTTTTTTTTTTACTTTTTTATTGAAGCTTCTTGAGCTCCATTAAAGCTGCAGTAGGGAGTTTTGAGAAGATGAACATAAGAGCAGTTCTTAAAGGTCCCTTCTCCTTTCTCCCTGCAGTGCTATGGCCCTTGCTCCACAGCTCCTCCACCTCAGAGGAGCCTGTTGCGAACATGCAGGATAGTTAGTTACCAGGGCTACTGACGACGGCAGATATACAATTACATAATAGCACAGTCATATGCTTTACATTGACCCACAGGGGAGGGTTTGAGCAACCAACAAAAGCACGATTTACACTGTTGCATTACCTGTCTCTGATTGGTTGTTTCTGACTGGGAGTGTTGTTTTTCCGCAAAAGGCAGTAAGATGCTACTGTCAGGAGATAATGACACTTTAAGCTAATGTACAAAGTTAGCTTTCGCACCTTTAATTTAGTTGCTCTGATGTCATTACCCAACAGATGATTGTAGAACAGATCTCACGGGGAGGTGAAGTCACTAACTTTCTATTTATTTCTTACACGATTGCTAGCTCTCTCCCAGATAAACAACCAGCGCAATTTGAGAATGTGAAATTTAGAGTTCGTACATGCAGAACTAAACACATAGGATTGCATCGTGACAAAAGAAAGCTGTAAAACTTTCAACTTTATTCACTGTGACAAGGCACTACTACAAACCAAATATTTCGATGAATGATGGAGTTCTGCTACCATTTTCAACATAGAGGAAACCATCATTTCAGTTTTTAAGACGTTTTTAAAATGTATGATTTCAATTGATTTGGGTAAAACCTCTCCTGTCTTTTTGGCCTTGTTTTCGTGTCTGTCATGGGCTGCTTAAAAAAAACCCGTAAAATCACTTAAAGTTCATAATTATCCATATTTCTAAGAGACAAGCGACACAAGAGCGGGATTTGCAGCTGTGTCTTCACTGTCCTATCCTGTGAGGTGGGTTTCAGGATGGCAGCGACGACAGCCTTCTGTCGCTGTCGTTTGTTGCCGTAATTACAGAAGATATTTAGCATCTTTCTGCAAAAACTGAAAGACTTAAAGTAATAGTAGATAGATTGAGAATCCCATATTGATTTGACTTGCACATAATTGTTCAAACAGAGAATGCATAAGCCCCTTTAAGCATAAACCTGATCTTTGAAGGACCCTATTTCGCTCCCTGAACTCTATGTGAATATTATTATTATCTTTTCATAATGCAACAAAAGCTAGCATGTTTGAGTTGCTGCCTTTAACATGTGTGCCACTATTCTACTCAGATTCCTTAATGTCCCCTCTTCATATTGGTTTATTTAGCTTCTATAATATAACAATAAGAATTCTCTTATTATTTTGGCATTTAGCAAACAGGCTAATGTGACCCATCCTAACTGACCTAAAACACCAGACAGTGAGGATTGAGTGTGTTTTTATAGAGCTTGTGTAGATAACATCCCAAAATGTCCTACCCACCACCGTTCTTTGCCTCTCCTTACCCCAACCACTCGCGTATTAGTGATGTCATCTGATCAAACTGGGTTTTTTTTTTTTTTTTTTTTTTTTAAGGTTTAAATGTGACAAGGTATGATTATGGATTCCTAACCCTTTGAAAACCTTCTACAAATAAACCTGCATTTTTTAGGAATATACAAAACAAAATCCCATCAGATTCAGTAGATTGTGTTTTGTTGTCAGGATTTACAAAAGGTAAATCCTTAACTTTTATGTAAGCATGAAATACTTTGTCTAAAGCAGATCACTGAAATGCTAAGAAGCTTTAAAAATCATTTTTGTGCCACTTCTCTCACTTTCCTCTTCACACGACTGACTTAATGTGAAATAAACAGAGGAGATGAAACACAGAATACACAGAGCTTTCATGTGTCTAGAATATACCCCTGAGATGCTTGATAAAAGAATAAATTATCACAATAAAATGCAGCTCTTCAAAAATGGAAGCCATCTCAAATCGCGATAAAAGGTCGACTAAGGACCATTTAGGACATTAATTGCAATTTCCACGCTATTAGTGAGTGCTGGGAATGTGCTTTGGCAGCCTCTTATTTCCAAACCCTGTTATTTTGCGTAAAGACCGTCTGTCATCTCATTCAGAGAGGAAAAAGAATAAAAAAAACACATTTCCAGTCTACGAGTGAGGCGACACCCACCAGCAATTTAAGGGGGTGTAATTGCTGTTCAAGGATAAAGAGAGAGAGGTGAGCCACGAGAGCTCAGTCAGTAAATTGTACAGAGCAAAAAGACATCATTTGGGCTCTATAAATATAAAAAACCTCATTCGAACGAACTATGCAAGCAATTTTAGCTTAAACTGTTTTTCGATTTTTGGTTTTAATCTAAACTTGCCTTTTTGTATTAGACTTCTCTTGACCCAAACAGGATTTCTGGTTTTCTTTCAGGTCTTACGTGCTGATGTGGGTTATATATATATATATATATATATATATATATATATATATATATATATATATATATATATATATGGCACTTTTTAAATTTGAGTTAAAGGCTCCTCCCACATTGGCCTAAATCACTAAAATTACATTTTTTTACTTTTGCAAGAAAGACAGCTTGGACACCTTTTTAAGTAGAAAATCATTGTTTAGATACACTGACACTGATTTAACTAGCTGTTATACAGTGAAACTTCAAATCTATGGTTTTAGATTTTGGCATGAAGATATTCTCAGTTTATCCTCCATGACTCCCATCTTGTTTTATATCTGAAAGCAAAAGCATCTAGCCTGTTGCGTTTTGGCACCAAGTTGAATGAATTGGCACTTCCTGTTTTAGCAGGAGGCATGTCAGAGGCTTGGCTGTCAGTGCTGCTGTTCCTGTGGATGACTGATCTGGTCAATGTGCATGGACTGTTTGCCCAAAGCCCCGCTCTTTCTGTCCCTGTGACTGTCGTATCGATTCTGCTCAACCCTCGTGCAGCCTGTCACCGTGGATCTGCACGCTAACACGCAGCCTCCAGTGCTGAGCATCCCGTTTAGTGCAACCCTGTCCGTAGTCCGGAAAGTGGAGATCAGCTGCTGGTTCTGACTTTTGATTGGTTGAATAAGAAGATAGCTTCAGATTCAGCAACAGATTACATTATCTATAGGTATTTTTTCCAGACGCAAGTTTAATATGATAAACTACATGTCAATTAGGATATGTACTTTGATTTAAACTATCATGCATCCTGCCCCAAATCACTGCAGAAAAGTGAATAGAACAGCATAGGGTATGTCAGGAAGAACAGAGGGAGATTGTTTACAGGTCTTACGTTGATGCCCTGCGGACTGTACATCTGGCTGGCTGCAAGGCTGTCACTGTATCCTCCGGTCTGGCTGATAACATGGCGAAGGGTATCCACCTGGAACAGCAGGGGACACAGACAAAAGACCTTGGTCAGACAAAAGCTCTGTACAACAAAGACAGCGATGTGCAAGGAAAGGTCACTCTGATAATAAAAGGCTATCATAAACAGGAAAAGGTTACAAACAATGAATCTGAAGGATCTTGCTGCTAATACAAGCTCTTTAATAGAAGAAGCGAAAGGACAAAATGATAAAAAGAAACAAAATATCAAAGCATTTCTTGCTGTTGGTTAATAAGTCATAGAGATCTGAAATCTTGCTGCAGATTCTTGTAAGTTTTGTTCACTATCTCTGAAGGCATCCATCAGAACTGTCAGTATTATTTTTTTATTGAGAAAATGAATACTCTTGGTTTACCAGTATGTAATATGAATCCGGTTTTTAGGTCTTAGATAAAACAATGTAACCTAAAGTGCTGCAACCAAAGCCTTAAAGTCTCAGTGTCACAAATTCAGGTTAAACTATTCTCTTACCAAAAAAATAGAAATATGTTAAGGTTGGCTGAAAGTGAACAGAACTTTGACTAATGCTCATTTCATTGCAGAACTATGATCAAAAGTTTGTATTTCTCCTAGATCTATGAAGGCTAAAATGAAAATCCTTACATGTGTTCAGTATTTGTCACTAAAAATAGATGAAATATGTAAGCCCCATGTTGTGCAGCAGACTGGTCGTTCAGTGTTTTGACAGATCCCTACGACTCTCAGAAATCTGAGATTGATTTCACATATTATCCAGGAAAAAAAGAAGAAAATCTCTTCAAGAAAAATCTTCAAATGTCGTAAAATTGACAAACATGAGCTCAGAGATTTCCAGGATTACAAGAAACATTTTTAGACATTTAAACTAAGATGTTTGCTAAGATTTGAAATCAGATACTTGCGACAAAATGCAAAAAGTCCTTTTAGTCTAAGTGGTAGCTTTCATACGGGCTCTTTCTGTATGAGAAGGACTTCCTTAGTAGTTCTCGTACATGTACAGTAGTAAGTAGCTGCTGACCTACTGCAAATAGTAAATGTGGAAGGACACTTGTTTGAACCAGGAGGAATCGTTTTTTATTACTGAACACAACTACAACTCAACTCAAACCATGTGCATGGCATACATACAATACAGCAAATTTCTGCCTTTTTTCTGATAAATTTACCAATTTTTTTTTTCTGTGCAAATTTCAGACTTTTAAATGTCAGAAAATATATAAGTTTAAATGTCAAAATCTTTTTTATATTGGAAATTTCTGATTATATTACTTTTTGAAATCAGATAGATTTCCAATTCTCTTTCAAAAATATGTGAAATTAATCTCAGCATTTGTAAGCGTTTGTCAAAAAGTATATCTCTGGAATGTCAGAGATGAAAATCTCATTGATTGGCTTAAAGAATTATTAATAATTATTAAAGAATCAGAAAATCAGATTTTTTTTCTTCCCACCCTGATCTCCTCCTCTCTGAGTGGGGTGGCATAACCAGTTTCTCATATCTTATCATAACCAATTTCTTGAGCACAAATTTGAAAAAACTGCCACAGTTTATTACCTATTAAACAGCCTTTATTCCTTAGATTTTTACTAAAAATATGTTTTCAAATGAAAGTTTAATATTTTATGTTCATAGTTCTAATATAGAAAACAGCATGTTTTTTTTGTTAAACATCTCAGCCAAAGGGACACCATAACAGCTGCACTAAATAGGAATTATAAACAGCTCTAAATTTATCTAAAATGATAAAAGCTGCTGGTGATTTTATTAAAGCTTTTATGTTAAATCAGATGGTTTAAAAAATAAAAAAACCTTGAATTCTCCCGAAGACAAATTTAAACTTCTATCTTCTATACATAACACAATTATTGCAAGCCTAACTTTCAAATAAAGCCAAAGCTAGAAGACATCTTTATCTCATTAAAAGGCCTGTCTCCTTCGCATATTCATGAGTGACCTCAAGCATTTGTAGAACTGATCAAAACTGAAAAGAAGTGGTGCAAACAATGCTAAAAGCATCCAAACTACCAAAAGATACCAGCATGGGTGCTGATTTCTTAATCCGTTGTGAAAGTTGTAACACTGTAGTGGTCATAACTGTCCACTGGGGCAAGGTCACAAACCACAGTGCACCAGTGGCGATGTGAACCCATGTCACGACTGCTGACGAGTGCTGCAACGTTTCCAAAACTGTCTGCCGTTGTCTATTCAGCTGCTTGACAATGCTGCTATCTACATTAATGCACTGCTGGGGGCTAAGGGTAACCTCAGTTTCAGCGTGAAGGTCAAGCTGGGCACTCCCAGACTGGTCAGCGACTGCTTCAAGTCTCAGAAATGTGCCTACCTGGGACTGTATGTTGGCCCCAACTTGCCCCCCTTGGTACGAGTCCCCATTGAGGGACTGCACACTCATGAACAAGTCTCCGGAGTTTGACATGTTAAAAGAGCCAGCAGAACCTGAGAATACAGAGAGGTGCAGAAGAAGACAGAAAGAACAAGAAAAAAAGGTAAGAAAGGCAGAGAGGAAGGAGTTAAAATGAACATGCTGAAGCAAAACAGCATTAAATTGGTTAGTCTGAGAGGGTCGTGCAGTGCTTGCTAAAACTTTACGGTGTTATTTGACAGTTTCTGTCGCTTATGAAGGTTTTAGTTTATTAAAAATGTTTAATACCAGACAAAGGTAAACACATGAAAAAAGAACAGCTTCCAATTGTTATCTATGGCATCTATTAAACAGATCTAATTGAGCCTTGCCCTACGTAAAAAAGCAATTGCTGTATAAACTAAAAGAAAGATTTCGGCATATAAGCCAGCAACACCTACTGCCAAGTGTTTATGACAGCTTTAAATAAATATTTTACATAAATGGAAGGACATATTTTCCCCACTCTTCTTTTTATTTCTTTTTATTAAACCTCATTATAATATTGTCAAGCATCATTGACCCCAGACTTTGACTAGGCCGCTCCAAAGTCTGTCTATTTAGTATTTTTTTTGGACTTGCTGGTGTACTTTAGGTCTACACCAAGTCGTCTAGGTTGTAAAGCAACCCCTATTATCACATTACCATGTTATCTTTTTCAGCCAGGGCTTAGTGTTAGGTGCTTAGCCTTTCTGCAGCATATCTTTTGGTATCCTTTAGCCTACTTAACGTTGCCAGATAAGTTACATTTAAGTGATTTCTTAAATTTACAGGTCTAACAGTAATAAGGAAAGAAATTTAACTCAATGATGTTAATCAAATGTAATAAATTATAAAAAACCTGGTGGAAAAAAAAAAGACATTTTAGTTTGGATGCCTTTTTTATACCCTCAATAACCGAATAATAATTGAAAACTGCATTTAGTTTTGATGAAAAGGGCTAAAACAGACTGAAGCTGTTACACGACTAAGATATTTATTTTTCAACAAAATTGCACATGACAGGCGCTGTAGGTCAGTAGGTAAAGAAAAACATCCCCCAACAACAACAATGAGACAGATCGTCATTGCTAAACTGTTTAAGTTAAAACAAGGCTTCTAGATTATATTACTGTTAAATGTCTATGCTGCTAGTGTTTCATTAAGGAAGTAATAATTGATGCGCAGGAAGACCAAAAGAATCTTCTTCGTTCTTTAATGGACCCCAGCTCCCCAGATGTAAAGAGAGCATCAGGTAACTTGATTTCAACGCCCGGTACTAATCCAATACAGTTGCATAGTCTCTATATGACAAAAGACTCCGCTTGCCCTCCGAGCGGCTTAATGGCATACATGAGGTCAACCGGACAAGAGGCAGGAAAAAATTAACGTCCACAAGAACCAAGAGGTCAATAACGCAGAGAGGGAGACAGAGTGTAAAGGCGGAGAAGAAACGAGAAGCGTTGAAATGACAGGCAAGAAAGCCAAGGCAAATCTCTCGGTTAGTTAAGGAGAGGAGAGCTTCTGTGTGTCAAGAGAAAACTCAACCAGAGACTGAATTATTGAGCTGTGGCTTCATTTTTTTTAACAATAAATCTTGTAAAACATGACACTGAAGCTTACCTGCTGAGTTGGGGGTTGACGGGGAGTTGGCCTGACTGCCATGAGCCGACACACTGGTTGCATTGACGGCGGTCCTGGCTGCGTACATGTTGGCCTCTTCTTGGAACTTGCCGATGTTTTTCTTGTATCGAATTCTCTTATTTCCAAACCAGTTTGATACCTGTTACACCAGTTGACAGGGGTTAATGAAAGAAGAAACATCAGTTTTACAATTAAGATTTAGTTATGCTTCTTTTGAGTATCCCAGAGGTTACAGTCACCAACTTAGCATAACTACATAACTGCTTGCCTAATTATTTGTAGAACAACTCTACATCAATCCTGTAGATGGGATAGGAATAGCAAATATCGAGTTTTATACCTACAAAATGGCCTTCAAAGCATTGCTACATTTGACGTTTAAAGGACAATGTTAACTGAAAACGCAGCCAGGGTTGTCATTATCTTTAGAGCTAAAAGTAGGAAATATTTAGCTATTATTTTCAGTACAGCAATAATAATAATAATAATTATTATTATAACAAGAGGATGTGGAAATAATAAAATCACATTAAAATTTCATACTAAAACTACTTCCGAACTAAACTAAATGACACAATAAGTGAATGTAAAGAAGCTACATTAGATTAAAAAAAAACAAATACTTCTAAATAACGGGGATCCTAAAAATATAGACAAAATTTGTTTTTATTAAACTACTCATAACCTCTGTATGTTATAGCAATAGTTCCAAGAGATTTTGGATGTTTTTGGATTTCTTTTTCTATCTGAATTGCTTTTTTCCCCACAATCTGATCGATGTCCAAGACTGAGGGTAAAGAGGTTCTTTAGATCTATGGTGAGGCTGAGAAAAGCACTTGGAGTGACACTAAGAAATACATATATCTACTGTATATAAACATTGTACATATGAATTAAATAGACTGTGAAGATGATGACCTAAATAGACTTTCAGAAGTAGCAGTTAAATTGGCAAGAAGATTACATTTGTTACAAGCTTTAGGAAATGTTCCTGAAACTGGCAAGTTTGAAACAGACAGTAGCCCAGTACACCGTTCTGATTCCTACATGGAAGAAAACTGCTTTAAATCCAACATTCCTCAGGATGCCTGGGGAGCATAGATCAGATCTATCTGATTACCTGTGACACAGTGATGCCACACTTCTTGGCCAGCTCTTCTTTGGCCTCCTCACTTGGGTAGGGGTTACTGAGGTGGGAGTAAAAGTACTCGTTCAGGATCTCTGTGGCCTGTTTGTTGAAGTTTCTCCTCTTTCGTCTGTAAGATAAAAAGCATAATAATAATTTTTTTAGCTATTAATTTCTCTTGGATTTTTTTCAGTTTCACAATGAATTAAAGCTGGCATCTCTTTAATCTTTATTTAAAAGCTGTTGCAATAATATTATATTACAATACTATTGCTGCAATACGATTTTGTGTCCTATGTTCTGCTTTTACAATAGATAGTACCCCTGGTTCAGTGCCTCTCAATAAGCCAAGATTCTTTCCAGTCAGATAATTTAATTTGGTTCAAGTAGCTTTTCCCTGTGATTTTTTTTTTCTTTGATTGTATTCGCCCTTTTTTTTTCAGTGTATAGCTCTTTTTGTTTGGATTCTCTAGGACTGCTAGCAATGCTTTCTTACCAGCAAGTGCACTTTCTTTGTTTTTTCTTTCCCTGAGAAAGTACTCTTGCTCAGTTTTTCTGCATTTCATTGTTTTTCCTTTCTTGGATTATTATCACATCTATTACTCCATCTGAAATTGACTTTATGCAACATAAAGACTGAACAGTTCTAGTTTGAGATGAACTGGCACTGATTTTGCACTGAAAAGTGGATTTTGGATAACTAAATATATATCAGCAAAAGGGGGGAAAAAAAATTCTTGATTCAGACAAAAATGTAAGCACAGAAATAAATAAAAATTAACTGATTAAACTACTAAAAATACATATTTCATTAGTTCCTAGCAAGTCTGCTCTAAAATGATGGTGATTCACACAGACCTGGCGTCCAGAAAGCGAGAGCGCAGGATCATGACGGCCTCACAAGTGCTCTGCTTCAGCTGCATCTGGATGGAGCTGAATTTGCGGTGGATGATGCTGACCATGCGCTCAATCTCTTTGGGCGAGATGGGTCGTGTTCGAGACTGCTCCCTCAGCAGGTTCATCACATGGGTGGTGAACTCATTGCACGCCTGAATGAACAGACAGACAGGATTCATAAGAGAAATAACTATCTCAGAGGCTCGACAGCTTCACACAGAACAAAGGGGTGAAATTGGATTCTGAAGAAGCTGCGTGGTTGCCCAACCGGCCCTGAATTCACACGAGAAGCACTGACAGTGAAACAGCAGTGGTGTTAGAGGTAATAAGAATGGTCTAAATTAAAGCGGCAGACACAGCGCCATGTTTCAAGGCAAACAAATGTGGCAGTGGAGTCATACAGCGGAGGCAGTGATACTCGCGGTGCTCTGCATATTAAAAAGACTTCTCTTCAATGGAAGAGAAAATGTGACAAGTGAGCAGAAATGTAAAATGACAGCAGGCTTTCAGTCCCGTTCACGTTCAAGAGTTTTAAGCTGTCTCCCTCTCTTCTCACTCCATCTTTCCGTCTACCTCTGTCTGTGTCGGAATCAGTCACTGGATATGACTGCATTCAGAGTCAAGGTGTCTGTTGCTTGTCAACACCAGGGTTACGTCAGTCAAAGTGATCCGGCGAGCAGCCGTTCTGCTTGCACACACACGTGGAAAGACACTACTCACTCATCCCAACGCAGGGCGTACATAGCACGGTGACACAAAAATGCTCAGGTGTATATCGACTGTGACAGTTAGCGATGACTAGCCTTCCTCTGAGAAGATGACAAACCCAGAAACGCTTTGACTTCCGAGGGAATGACAATACGTTACAGTCTTTGGAGGAGAGCTGGTGTGTGACTGATATAATGGCTGCTTGCCTGCTAAAGATAGCGTTGCTAAAAGCTTGGCATGTCATGAGTTGTCCTGTGAGTTCTCATTTGAAAAGCATCACACTGTTATACAGAGAGAATGAGCTCCACAGTGCAGCCATTGTTTATGTGAACTTATTTCTATTTAGATTTAAAGATGAGACTTTTGTCTCAGCTTGCAACAGATAAAGAGGGAAGACCTAGTTTGCCCACCACAACAGTCACTCACCACATATATAAAGGTATTTAAAAGGCCTCATTACAACGTCTTTTATTGCAGCTGTAGTCGGTGAAAGTTTCTTAACTCCTTTATCATCTCGTTCACTATTGATGGAATGCAGCATGATTTCTATGAGCTTCAGTAAAACTTGGTGAGATATATTCTCATTAAGTTATATGGGATCAGACACTCAGTAAAGATGTAATAGCTGTATGTCCAGAGAAAAGCCGGAAGGAGCAAAAAAAAAGGACGTTTTCCTTCCTTTAATTCGTAGATGTAATTTTTTCAAATTGTAGAACAGCAGAATATTTATATAGAAAATGCCCCATATGAGGTGGTGGTGGACTCCTCCAGTGGTCTGGGGCACTTCTGTTCTGTAAAGCAAGTTTTCTTTTGCATCTTTCTTTTTTAGCATATATATGTGTATGTTTGGTGTTTGATTTTTTTTCTCATTTTGTGAGCTTTTTAAGTTTGAACCAATTGTTTGTTCGCAGCATCATTTGTTGTTTTCTGCATGTTTGCACCAGTTGGCCACTGTACCACCATGCCACCATACTGTGACATTATGGTTTGATCAAACCTTCCTTAACTTAAAAAACACAACTAACAAAGCTAAATGTCTCCTTGTTGACACAAAGACCAATAAGGATCAATTATGATTCCTCACTTTTTCCATCCCCCCAGCCTAAAAGTCTTGGGTCATCCTTGATTGCACTCCATCTTTTGAACCTCATGTTAACAATATTACAGCATATTTCCACCATGAAATGATCAACTGTCTCCATCCATCTGTCACACCCACCTGCCCAACCATTCTCATTAATGCACTTCTCACTTCACAATTATATTACTGTAACTCCCTTCTTTCAGGGCATTGAAAATTACTTAAGCTTAGTGTCTACATGCTGTATGTAGCACTGTATTTCAAAAGAAAATAGTGTAAATAAAAATGAAGTCAGTGAAGATGCTGGATCAGAGAAGTGTTATTGGATTTAAGGTCACGGGTAATAAAGACTATTTCCCACCTGTTCGTACTTCTCCAGCTCTGTGTGGTAGATTTGTCGGATCTGAGACAGCTTGGCTCGGTAGTCGGAGTGTTCTGCCGAGTTGTCTGCACCGACGCCACCAGTGGCTGCCGCGGCGGCAGCAGCGGCTGCAGACCCGCCGCCTTTCTCTGGTCCGGCCACGCCCTCTGCCAGAAGCATATTGTCCAGTCGCATCAGCTGTGGATCTGGAGGCTCCTCCTCCTGGGCGCCGCGGATACTGAGCACTGCAGAGGACAGACACGACATACATTACTAAACACACCTTTTTAACTGAAACTACAAGAGTTTGACACACATAAAAAGCATCTCTTACTGTTCCCCCTGCTGCAAATTGCAGGCTGAACTTGCTGAAATATGGCTGTCATTATTAAAGTTCAAGCCTGTGCTATAAAAATCTGCAGCTTCAGAGTCTGGCAAGACAGTAAAAGGAGAAAATTTCATCGATTGAATCTATAAATTCATTTAAAATGAACAGAACCTTTACGAGAGCTCATCTTTTACTTCTCGCTGTATTTAACAGCCCCGGGTTTTAGTCTTTAGCTGATGGGTTTTAGCAGAAAACATATTAGTAAGGAAAGCATGAAGCATTGTAAGTGATTAGAAGCACATCACTTCATTGGAGTAATTAATATGAAGGATGTGTGACTTAAGAACAGTTACTAAACAAGAGGAGAGTGATAATAGTTTAAACTTTATTATTTTCAGAAGCACTTCAAGCGATCCTATCATCCAGTTATCAGATATTTATTATCTTGTTAGATGAAGTAGAGTTCTACCACATAAAATCTGAATTATCTCTGCAACCGAAATGTGAATTTTGTTTAGTTACATATGACTCCTTCTATACTATAGTAGGCTTGTTTTATTTGCAGTGAAGTAACACTGCAAAATAAGTAGATCATAATCATCAAAATATGAAGCTTAGAGAGAATTAATGTTTTTAAGTGAAAAAAGTTTAAAGGAATTACAATCTGTATCGTCACAGCAATATTTAAAAATATAAGGTTTTCCTAATATACTAGTTTAGTTGAAATGCAATATATGTTAACCTTGCTTTATGTATGAATTTTTATACATTGCCTGAATCTGTATCGCATGTATCTAATCAGAGGCGAACATACAGTATAAGATTAATATGTGATTCAAGGTGTGCCGAAATCAGGAAATTATTTTAGAGCAACAGTTCCTGAGAAAAAAAGAGAATAGATTAAAACTTTATTCACATCATATTAACATTGTGCTTTGTAATCTGAGGCGAAATCATTTGCAGCTTTGCGCATGCGTTATACATTTATAACAGGAGAACTAAGGCAGCTGTCTGTGCCTGTGAGACAGTGCTTAGGGAAGTGGGGAGAGACTAATGGCTGCTCTTACTGCTGTCGTGGGACAATAACAATAGAACCATTGCTGCTTTGACATGAAGTCTCTAAACTTGCCAAAAGCAGAGAGAAAAGTCACTAGATTTGTCTCTACTTGTTTTTTTTTGGGGGGGGGAAGATTGCTAGAGGGGTCTGAAAAGTTAAAGTCAGACAAAGTGGCTATGTTGGCAACATAGGAATACTTTCTCTAGTTGCTTTTTCACTACATGGGGGTTCACCTCACTGTAGCCACCAGCAAGCTTCAAACACTCGCCACCTTCGCAGGGAAACAGACAGGAGCTGGCGGAGTTAGATTTTTTTAAATAAATAGTAACACTTCATGATAGCTCTGATTATGACTCAAACAAGTGTGCACAACTACAGTATGCTATATCAAATGCTTTCCCCTGTTTTAATATACTTTTTAAAATTAAAGTCTGGTGGCTTTTATTTTGCTGTGGCAGTGCGCTATGATCAATTACATGCAGGAAAAAGCCCACACTGGACTTTGAATTGTTGCCAGCCTTTAGAAATGACACTGTTAGGATAATCAACATCTTTTAGGATGCTGCTTTTATTAAGTTACCTGCATTAGCACAAGTAATTCCCAATAAAAGATAACTTTGCTAATATAGGATGCTTAAAAGACAAGAAATATGTTTCCTAAATTTTTAATAAACTTGAAAAAAAGTATTTTTTTTTTTACCATGCAAATCTGGTCTAATGACTTATTTGTAGATGAGTTCACAGAAAGTATAAAAGCTGACCAAAATCAAACAGATTGAGATGAACTTGGCTCTTTAATGTCTTCCAAGAAAATAAAACCAGGTACAGAGACCATATTTATCCATTTTTGCATGATTTAAACAGACAAGTGTGCCCCCTCCTCAGTGAGAGCTGCTGCTGTCCTGCCTGTTTCAGCCACCAGAAGGCTCCCTTGGTAAAGAAGATGAGCTTCCTTCCCTCCTTTGAGTTGGAGAAAACATCCAACCAGGTGCAGCCCTCTACTCCATCTACTGTCTTCAAGGACAAAGACGCCACACTTTTTAACAATGCATCCATCCCACTGCCACTCTACATGTCTGCCATCTGATGTGTGCAGACAGTGAGGGTGAGTGGCAGGATGTGTGACAGAGCAGTAGAGCCATATTGCAGCTGAACAGACTCCGGTCGCAGCGATGGCTTCTTTGTAAGGCGGATGTAAGGCTCAGGCGCCCTGTGACCTTTTTGAAGAGCAGGGGGTCCAGATGGATTCCAGGGCCGGCACGAGGAGCTCTCACCTCTTTTCATCTAGCCCCCCCCTCCCCGACATTTCTCTTTCCCTCCCTTTTCTCCTCCAGCAACAACATCATCCATTCCCATCAGCTCCGAAACGTGAGCAAGCTCCGCTCAAGAGGCAAATGTCAATGGCCATCAGACGACTGGAAAAGGTCAGGAGTTCAGATGGGGAGCAGACGAGTGTGCGTGTGGGTGTGGAGTGTTTGTGTGTTTGAGCGCACTGGTAGATGAATATCTGGAAATTTTTCATGTGAATCACACCGGCGGGAAATTATAACACTCGCCAATTTGATTCTGACAAAACAGTCGCAGCATCCCAACCAGAGGGGGAATCTAATGAGCCTAAGAGTGATTTATTCATTCCTTCCAACTCCCTGAGTGCACAACTAAAAGCATGAAATGGATTAAATAAATACAATTAATAAGGAAAATCAAACAATCCACTGTGCTGTAGCATAATTACCTTAACCACAGCCATCAGCTTTATTTATTCCTGTTCAGTAATGGCAATGAAATTGATTAGACCTCAATGCCAGTCTGAGTGCTTTGCTGTGAACTTTGCAACCACGGTCTATACATTAACGTAATCACCTGACAGTGGGAAGTGGCCTCTATTACAATAAATCACGTGCAGCACAATAACACCAAAAACCTTTGATACACATTTTACAGTCTATCGACGCGGCTGCGAGGAGTGGGGGGGGGTTCCTTTACTTCATCAGTCCCTGATTAGCATCTATAAAAGGAAGATGGCCATCATCTCATCTTGATCATTACTGACAGGCTTAATTGAACAATGAGAGGACACAATTCCCCTCTCCCTCACCCACCCCCTTTTCCTCTCTTTTTCTCTCCTTTCATTCATGCACGCTCTTGTCAAACTGCTTTCCTGAAATGTGGGACACCAAACTCAAAAAAGGCAGAAGCTTAAAAAAAAACAAAGAAATATAAACAGGCTTCATAAATGCCTTCTGAATAATAAGCGGTACTCTAAGAATAAGCCTTTTGTTTATTTACTGATATAATTATTTCCTGCTTATGTTGTATTTCCTTAAGAGTTGGCCCGTGCCCGCTGCTTCGTGTTTGCTAACAACAGGCGAACCCCGGGCATAGTGTTGATTGGTCGGGCCATGCTGGACACATACAGATGAATAAAACATGTTAAACAAAAATACGCTTCTAAACAAACGACAGCTTCTGTACTTTGTCAGAGAATACATATTCCCTAAACTCTGTTAGGTTTTGTTCTTTTACAAACACATAAGACCTGTAAAGTGTGGCTTATTTCAACCTGATACCCCTCGATAAACTCCAGTACGGCCAAATGCTTTAAGAAGTCACTAAATGAGTAAACTATGAAGGCCTCAAGAACTTTGTAAGAGAACAGCAGCGAAAGAAAAAGTAGGTTGTGCATTTTGTAAAGAACTTGCAATGATTTTACTCACTGGAGATGTTGATAGAAAAAAAAGGAAAGACTACAAATAACTGACTCAGAGGGTTGAATTATTAAAACCACAGAGCATTCTAATCACACTGATTTAGATTATAAATACCCAAGATGCTCCTTAAGTTATCACCTAAATAGCTCCTATTAGGGTGTACTGCATTGCCAAGCAGCGTCATCTTCTCAATCCAAAGAGACCGATGTTTTCAAAAGGCGAGGGAAGAGAAGAGCATCATTTGTAACATCGCTGAAAAAGATATGATAAAATATGTGGGGCCTTTGGTAAGTTAATGTACTTCATGGAGCCAGCTTTAACATTCCTCTGAGAACAGCCATTTAGATGCACAGCAAACAGCAAAGTGTTGCTCCCACTGATTGCTGGATTGCTCTGAAAACAGAGAGTTATATCAGAGTTACCGCCCACATCACCGACACAAAGTGGCAAATAAAGTCTGACAAGTTTTCCATCTCCGTTCATGAGGATTTACAAGAGTTTCTCTTCTTTTATTCTATTCTTTTTTGTATTGTTCATTATTGTTCCTGTCTTGGTATTTTCTGCGGATACACCTAAGTGTAGTAATGTACAGTATGAGAAATACAAAATGTTTTGGTCATTAAATAAGTATTTAATAAAGTGCAATAAATTATTAGAATTCAATGAAGGGCTTCTTTTTTTCAAATTAAGCAAATAGTAAAATTTTATTGTTATGCTATGTTATGAAAATAAACTTTTGATGCAAGAGAAAATAGCCGCTTATCAATTTAGGATTATTCATTTGATAAAATCAATCAACACCAGATTAGATCTTTATTGACAACTTGCACCTCTACTATGATGCTGGAATAGTTTTGCAAGAAGGGTATCAACCAGATTTGTGGACCTTTCTAAGCTGTAGCATGAGGCCAAATGAGCGCTTTTGAAAGAAAACATGTTGAATTAATGATGCTGAAGTATTCTGTCACAATTAGGGAGATTTTAAATCAAACAAGGCAGGAGTGATGTCCCTGACAGCCGTGATGAAAGTTTATCCCCTCTGCCTCTAACTGGCAGCAAAACACTGGACTGGATCCATTTCCCATCAATAAAGTAATGCAATACACTCTGCAGGCCTGTGGTGCAGATATGTGTGTGTTTGTGTGTCTT